CCCCAAAACCCCAAAACCCCACTCTCACTCAATATTCAAAATTAGTGATCAGTAATAAAAACATATTAATATTTCTTTTACTATTACAAAAGCTTTGCTTTTACTCAATTATAATCAACTGTCTATTCATTCATCAATATGAACTGAATTTTAATTTTAATTATAGTTCTCTTCATATCTTTGTATAATGTTAGCCAGATCCTCTCGAGATTCGCCAAAAAATCCTTCACTAGGACCTTCCCCAAGATACCAATGCAGAAATGCTCTCTTTGAATATAATTTATCAAAATTTTCAGCAAGTTCTTAGAATACATTGACCATTGCATAGTCCTGAGATAAAGAAAATACCTTTAATTTTGAATATTCCTCTTCATCACGTCTAGCTATTAAGCTGTCCTAAATAGATACGAAAAAATTGTCATTCATTAGGTACATTTAAGGTTCGCTTTTTTACTGTATTACTGTAGTCATTTACTTTAAGGTAGTCATGACATCTCTAATCTGAGCTTAACCTGAATACATATGACTTGAGACTTAAAAACTTTGCGGAATTGCATCCTATAATTTGGAATATGCTCCATGATTAAACTAATAGGACTTATCAAAAGCAGATTTGGTCAGTTCATTTGCAATAGTTTTTTCATCACTGTACATTAGACTACTATATGTGTCTACGACTAATGAAGGAGTCATGTATCTGAGATCTGGAAGCTGCTGCAAACTGTTACACAAGTCTTATAAATCTAAGACTCTTCCACTTGTATTTCTTTACATTAAATGCTGAAAAAGGATACTTAAGCCATCAGTAATGAGGTCATTTATTTCAGGGATCCCTGGATTTTCTATTCTCTTATTATACCTACAGTGATTTTATAGACCCACATTTGTAATGACATTCCCTATAGATAGGTACTCCATACAGGTATGCATTCCATAGACAGCATTGTATGGGCTAACTATTATTTCATCAACAGCATTATTGCTTGGAAAGATCATGTTACTCATGCATGCTTTTATGCCAAGCTCAATTTAAATCCTCGAGATAAGGCTACCCCCTAATCCTGAACCTGTACCCCCACTAATACTGTGATTGACTATTACTCCTTATATATTGTCACATTATTCAGCCTGCCTTAAAATTATTTCCATGCAATTTTCTAAAATATCTTTTCCTATTGTAATTTCTCCTCTTATACAATTATTGGCAGAAGATTCCAAACCAAAGTACGTGCTTTCTGTGTTAATAAGTTTATCCTAGATACTATTAGTTAGAATGTTCTGAGATTCTGGGTCTAGGTCAAAAAATACTGCTCTCGGCTTTATCAATCCATTAGTCATTGATTCCTGATAAAGCCTCTAAATATCCTTATTACCATATTAGTTATTGGACTCATTTAATTTCTCAAAGAAAATGTCCTGCTCTTTGAGATTACTATAAAGCTTTCTAATAAGATTGTCCCCTATTCGGATACCTGCTTCTCCTATGTTTACTTGTATGATTTCTCTCATTAATCTGATTACTATTTTTAAATACTTTAATGATTAATGCTAATAAATTTAATTGATTTTAACTCTATGAATTTCATAAATCTATAACACGGGGTTTTGGGGTTTTGGGGTTCATGGGGTTTGCTAGGACTGCTT